CCTGATTCCTTTAAAATATTCTATGTAAGAACTCTACTACGTATTAGAAGCCTCCATGTTGACGACTTTTTGAGGATATTACATGTTTTTATACAAGGATGGATGCATTGCTAAAATAGCATTTTTTTTTTTTAGCATTAGCTTCACATAGTATTGGTAAGTTTAAGTTTATTATAACGGAATACAAATGGAAAGTCAAATGTACTGGTCGGCGAAAAAAATTAATTTTAATAAAAACGACGAATGGGGTATATGTGAAAATTTGGGTCGCATGAAAAACATGTGTTAATCTAATCTGTTTAACGATTACCCGATATACGAGTCAACATAGTAATGCTGATAATTTATTTCTATGTATTCCCACCATATGCACCGATTTGTGGGATTGGACCTTTTTTAAACCTTTTGACTTGCAATATCATTTCAGCTTCGGCTTTAACAATTTCTTTGTAAAGATAAGTATAACCATCTTCAGATAACTGAGAAGCAAATATTAAATCTTTATTAACACTATCATCTTTTAATTCTTTGATAAGCTTTTTTACTGTAGAAGATTCGCCCTCCTCAGTAGTTATCTTCTGTCTTTTATTGGATTTATCTACTGATTCTATAATACAGTCGACTCTGCATATAACGAACCCTGAGGGTCTATATGTAAAAATTTTTAAAAAGTTCCTTATAGAGAATTTACTATGTTTTTATACCGAACTCTATAATAAATTTTCTAAAAAAAGTTCATTATAAAGTGAGTTCGTTATAAAAAGGTTCGTTATATTCAGAGTCGACTGTATGTTTTTTTTGTGTTCCACCTTCATGTTCTTTCTGACCTAATAATGGTGATGTATACATTGGTGAGTCTAGTCCAAGATTATTGCCTAACATATCTGCAATAGCCGAAGTTTCACTAAACTGAGATGATTCAGAAAACCTTTGTTCAGATATTACAGGATCAACAGTTTTGTCACAATCAGAAATAAGACATTTGTTTTCTTTCGTAAGTAAAAAATTTTTTTCAATGCATTTTCTATGATATACGTGGCTACATGAAAGTATTGTAAAAGATTCAAAGCTAACTGTTAAAATTTTTTTATTACATATTTTACATGGTGGCAATTCTGTAACTTTGATATTTTGTACTGCGTCATGTTTTGTTTCTTTTAAAATATTAAGAGCGAGGTTTTGAAGATTAATAAGGAACATGATAATATCAGCGAAGCAAGTACAGATAAGTTTCTTATAACAAACTTTTATTATACTTAGCTTATTTTATAGTATACCCTTCATGGCTAAAAAAAATTTAGATGATACATAGTATCGAGTCTTTGACTTTACTAATTTTAGATTTGACGATTTGTTCATTTAGAATTATTTAGTATGAATCAAGAACCGATCGATCTACTGGCCATAAATGATTTACAAAATACTAATTTTGGATTTGGTAATTTGTTCATTCACGGGCATAGATTATAATCACTCTATTTCTATTTTTGAATTTCTTTTTAACGATGCCCTGTTTTACGATCTGCATGTAAATCAGGATGTGTTTTTTTATTAGTAATTCACAGAACTGCATAATGAAAGGCTTACCAGAACTTTCGAGAATATTCATCAGTATAGTAACATAACTCTTGGCTGGGTTTATTAATAGATCTACTGCTAATTTTTAATTTTATTGGCATTTTGATAATACCGATCTTGAGCATGTTTTACAAATATTCCATCAGGTCGATAGAGCCATTTAATTACTGCATGCCAGATTATTTTAGCTGAATTTATTCGTTTTTTCCATAACCGATATGCTTGTTGGATAATAATCGCTGATTGATTTTTTATATATAAAGTTAGGAAATATGTTACTTGGGTTTAAAATTCTCTAAATTCAGAGTTATTGGCTATGGATTCATTTCTGGTTAAATTATTTTTAATACGAAATACAAAGTTTCTCCAATGAACCTTTTTATTAATATTATATCCTAGTATTAATAAATGTCTTCGTATATATATGGGTGGATGATACTTCACAAATTGTAACCATGCTTCTGGTATTTTTAGATTATTGATATAGTTTAAACCATATTTGGTTAACATGTATCGGGTATAACTATTTTTTGTCCATTCTTTAAATATTGGGCATGTTTATATTTCAAATACATAGATTTTATTAACTAAGACTTTTTATATTTATTTACTATTGATCAAAAAATAGATATATTCATTACAATAAGTAGAACGATTTAGTTAGGTGTTTATTCTTCCAGAATTTCACAATCCCCATATAAATATGTCGTTACATTATCTTGAGCTATCCACAATTTTGAATCAAATGGGTTAACACTTCTCTTTGTTTGCCTTATTCTGTACATTCGATGTCTGTAACTTCGGAGGAATTGAGCGGTTCGTGGTTGATCCTCTTTTCCTTCTAAAACACAGTCCTCGAATATTTTATGTGAAAGCTCTTTCTTGATGAGAGACTTTTTAAGACCTTTAGCCTTAATCATATTTTTTCGAGAATTTTCACACACAACACTATAGCATTTCGCACGAACTCCTGCATAGCCAATAGCTTGATCTCCTCCATTCTCATCCTTCCACTTACCTATAACTTTAGTATTTTTTAAGACACGCTCACCTTCATCATTAAGTATCCATTGATATTCAGGTAAATTTTTTACTACCCAATGGTCTTTAGGATAATCGCTAAAATCAAATAAATCACAATCGTCTATCATGTCCTGATAAATATTTTCGGTTTCAATTTCTATTATTAAAGAATCTGTATCTGTATATAAAAGCCTTACTCGATCTCCATATTTCTTTTTGAGATATCCATACCAGAAATTATACATAAAATATTTGGAAAGATCAAGAATACATGCCCCCACATATTCTGGCTTATTTAGTTTTACATTAGTTTGCCTTCGATGCACTGCCACTAAATTTGCTCCATAGAAAATTTTCCGACTAACAAATGCTGGATCCGATATTAATCGATGTAGTCTACGTTCTTCACCTACCTGTCGAACCAGATCTATATTCACTCGCTTTCTCACATCCTCCATAGTTTTCCCAAATACCGAATTATTCATTAATTTCCAAAAGTCTTTTTCGAATGCATTTTTTGCTTTTGCACGTCGTTGAGTATTCATTGCTATATAGGGTTCCTGCCATGGGGATTGATCGAATTCTAGAATTCGGTATACTTTTTCGAGAACATACCCTTCTCTTATACACTGCTGTAGATTTCTATAATGAATAACGTAATGGTCTTTATCATATAGAGTTAGTATAAGTTTTTCTGTATCGGGACATTGATTTCCTAACCATTCTTTTTGTTTCAAACTATACCAATCATATGGTACTTTTTTTCGTTCTGGACACATTGGATAATCTCGAAATTTGGGGTGTAATTCTTTTGGAATCGATAACTTAACCTCTAAACAACATCCTCGATTTGATTTTTCTTTTAATGATAAAATTTTCTGCACTAATGGGGAAGTCGCTTCGATGGGTTTTGTTGATAGCCATTTGAATCCTCCGGTTGGTAAATATTGACTCATTGCCCAACCATACAGATTATTTGCATCTAGATACAAAAGCCACTTTTTCGCTTTTTTTCCATCATATCCCTCTAACCCTGGAATATTTGCTCTAGCTATACGTCGTCTAGCCAAAGACATTCCCCCTCTCTTCATAGCTGTAAAGAAATCATGCATATCCCCTTGATGCTCATTAAATAATTCTAATGTTACTTTAGTTACCTTCATACATGCATCCCATGCTAAACCTGGTGCCATTAAATAATTTGCTGGATCAAGCTTGAATGCTGAATAAGATGCTTTTCTGAATGCTTCGAATGCATCTGCTAAAATCAATACATCAGTTTTAAGATAGATATCGTGGTAATCTCCAAAAGTCTTGCATTCTGTTTCTCGCCAGACCATATGTGCAAAATCATAATCCTTTTGAGATATGGTATAAATTTTTTCGTGTTCACATTCTTTATTTTCTTCACATTCATTGCAATTACCTGGTTCTTTTTTATGCTTACATTTCTGACATTTATGTTTGCATTTCCCTATCTTCTCTCCATGCTCACATTTTTCTATTCTACAATTATGATCACAGTAATTAAACCCATCTAAATCACTATTAAAATCCTTACGTGAAGGTAGTTGTGTCTCATTAAATTTCGTTTTGCTATTTAACCATTGATATGGAAATATTCCTTTACGCGTAAGCAATGATAATAAATGAGGTGAGATGAATTTCGACATAAATGGAAAACATTTTGCTAGTTGTTCTGGTGTTTTAGTTTGGCCCTTCTTTTCATCACGTAAGTTTTCTGCCATCTTAGCTAAACCAGGTAACGAAAATTTTAAACTATCAATAAATTGAAGCTGGCCAACTGAGAAAGTGATATATTGTTCAGAATTGTTTGCTATAGGTACTATTTTTTCATCCGTCACTTTTGCTATTTCTTGCATTAGATGATGAAAATCGTAGCCACTTCCATTGCAAAATAATACTGGAATTTTTATTGTTTCTGGATCAATTCGTAATTTAAGATTGCAACTACTGTGTGATGCTCCACGAAACTTTCCTGTTATATGATCATGATCTAGTACCTTATTTTTTCCTTCGTCAGGCAATTGAGTTTTACAATACATACATTTTTTACACGCATTATGTGTTTTCTTTTGTTCATCATCTAACTTACCTTGAATCATTGGCTTTTTCCCGTAACATTTCTTATGTGAAGCACCCAAATATTTTTTAGTTTCAGGATCGAATACCCGAATTTTATTGTATCCTGATTCGTGTAATTTTTCTTCACATATCCAACACTTACTTGCCATTTGATACTGCCTCCATAATTTTGGCGTCATTTTTTCACATAGAAGTGGATCACAGAGCTTATCTAAAATAACATCTAGATCTTCTTGGAGATTTTCCATTAAGTCTTTTATTATATTTTCTGATTCTCGATTAATTACTGGCTTTTGTGTTGTTCCATCTGAACAATGTATTGTATATCCATATGATACTGCTATTTGTTCCGCTATTTTTATAGTATTTCCTTCTTTATCTTTTTCTTCTTCTTCGATTTCTTTAGATTCTAAATCCACACTAATTAAATAAGGTTTCATTAGCATGTTTTTGATATATTTAGGCTTTACATAATTCTTACCCTCTTCAGGAAGTATTAATCGTTGCGAAGCTTTATTTGGACCTGGACATGTAAGAATATGTTCTTGTAATAAATCTAATCTACTATATGGAAATCGTAAGCATTTTCGGCAAAAGTATTTTTTTCCATGATGGTTATTCCACTTACGCATTAATCGAGTAAAATCTGTTATAAGTACATAATGTGTTCTAAGTTCTTCAGGTATATCGTTAGGATTTTTTCGGTCATTTAAACTTTCCTCACCTTCTGTTAAATATAATAAATCTATCATATGTTCGACTTGATAATTTCTTTCAGAGATATGTAATGGGTCTATATCTACTTTTATTTTTCCGAACACTTCTTTATATACTGGCCTAAATATATTAATAGCATAGTTAAGATTGATTTCTTCGAATTTATCAATATCATGTAGTGTTGCTGGAAATTTTATTTTATTAAAATTTGCTATATCTGCATTTCGTCTAAGTCTTCGGATTTCATTAAGATGTGGTGGCTTTCTATTAGCTTTTAATGCTTCCTCTCGTGTATGGTATGCACTTATACACCATTTAAGACACGCTCACCTTCATCATTAAGTATCCATTGATATTCAGGTAAATTTTT